GCTGGAGGATACCACATCACTAAGTACATGTGCAGGGAGTGTGGCATCAATCTGTGCAAAGATTGTTTTTTGCCATATCACCATGTATCTACAGGAAAAAGCACCATAACCTGTGAGACGCAGTATGATGAAGCAGACCAGGCTCAAGCACAACAACTATGGGCAGAGAAAAACACCCCATAGTGAGAGGAAGACCAGCAGTGAGAGAAGCAGGCACCAGGGGGACAGAGACGGCAAGGAAGAGGACAACAAAATAAACCAAAATGGGGTTGGTGTTGGGGTCATTGCATATAAAAAAAATGACCAAAGTTGTTGGGTGTTTGGACAGGGACTTGGTCAGTATTATATATTACTGACCATGTGTGCTTACCGGTATATTTTGCAGAATTTGAAGAAGTGAACAAATTGATCTGTCTTAGTTGAAATTTAGCCTCTAGATGCTAGGTAATAGCATTTATTTGTGGCAAAGCAAACATTATTTACTCAGTAAAAAGTTACAATTTTGTGTGATTTAGTGTTAAAATTTTACTAACCATCTATTATCTAGTAATAACATTTGACCAACCAATTGTGATTCATCATGATTTAGTGCCTGTCCAATTGTAATTTACTGTGATTCAATGTCTCTCTGATTGAGATTTACTATGAATGAGTGACTGGCCACTCAAAATTTACTGTGATTCAATGCATGTCCAATTGGGATTCAGTAGGAAAATTTACCTGACCAGTTGTGATTCACTGTGAAGCCAAAAAGTCAAATGTAATAAAGTGTCTGCCTATTGTGATTTACTGTGATTCAATGCCTTTCTGATTGAGATTTAATGTGATTGAGTGACCGTCTGCATGAGATTTTATATACAAATGAGTGACCGTCCGTTTGAGATTTACTGTGAAGCAACATAGGTAAGTGTGACACAGCGCCTCCCTATTGTGATTTATAGTGATTCAATGCCCGACCATTCAAGATTTACTGTGATTTAGTGATTGTCCGATTGTGAATATTAGTTATTAGTAGTTTGCCTGCCCAGTTGTGAATAAATGTGAACCATGTACAATGCCCAGTTGTGATTTAGTGTGTCAGTTTATATGTCACAAAAACTCGCCAGCCAAATCTGGTTCACATTAAAACATAGCTGGGCTGGAAAGAATCTTGCCCCTTGGTCATTAGAGAATTAAATAAATATTAAGTGAATTAAATCTCTAGCAGATACTTACACATATCATGTTTTCAACATATGTCACAGAAAACAATTCAGTTGTGTATGTTTTATTAAAACCTCCCTCTCATACCTAGCACACAGCTCTATGTTTACATTCAAAATTACAGAAATCTGTTGAATGAGCCACCACTTGCAGCTGTCAGTCTACCTTTCACAATTGGGCTTAATTCTAGTTTAATTTCCTTCCTTTCTCCTATATTGAATATATACTCATAATATCAATATTCACAACAAGGGCCAGTGTAACTGATCTCCATCCTCTCATTGTGACAAGGATTATTTTTTTATAATCAATATATAAATTACAGATGTACTGACTACATGGGAATAGGAGTTGAGTTTCTTTTCAGGGAATTCCGTAATTGGTTTTTAACTATTCCTTTCATATTTCCTAATCTTTATTTCTCCTGTCTTGCTGAATGTTGCTATGGCAACATCACAGATCTGTGAATGTAGTTAATGGGATGGAAGATTTACTCATGCCTTGTGATCGTTTTGTCTTGTTTCTGCCTTTTTTGTCAGTCATTTTTAGCTATCTGTAGGATGTAATGATGTGGGCCATGCTGTCTGTAGGCCTGTTCACATATACATGTATACGCAAATGATAAAACAATTAGATGTTTGGAATGCTAATGATATGCCAATGATAGGAATCACCACCTTACAGAGTGCCTCCCATCACATATGGACATGTACAATTAGAGCAGTGATAGGCTGAACCAGACAAGACAATGACCACCTTACAGAGTGCCTCCCATTACATATGGACATGTACAATTAGAGCAGTGATAGGCTGAACCAGAAAAGACAACGACCATCGTACAGAGTGCCTCCCATCACATGATAGACACATACAATTAGAGCAATGATAGGCTGAACCAGACAAGACAATGACCACCTTACAGAGTGCCTCCCATCACATGATAGACAGGTACAATTAGAGCAATGATAGGCTGAACCAGACAAGACAATGACCACCTTACAGAGTGCCTCCCATCACATATGGACATGTACAATTAGAGCAGTGATAGGCTGAACCAGATAAGACAATGACCACCTTACAGAGTGCCTCCCATCACATATGGACATGTACAATTAGAGCAATGATAGGCTGAACCAGACAAGACAATGACCGCCTTACAGAGTGCCTCCCATCACATGATAGACAGGTACAATTAGAGCAATGATAGGCTGAACCAGACAAGACAATGACCGCCTTACAGAGTGCCTCCCATCACATATGGACACATACAATTAGAGCAATAATCGGCTGAACCAGACAAGACAATGACCATCTTACAGAGTGCCTCCCATCACATGATAGACAGGTACAATTAGAGCAATGATAGGCTGAACCAGACAAGACAATCACCACCTTACAGAGTGCCTCCCATCCATCACATGATAGACAGGTACGATTAGAGCAATGATAGGCTGAACCAGATAAGACAATGACCACCTTACAGAGTGCCTCCCATCACATGATAGACAGGTACGATTAGAGCAATGATGGGCTGAACCAGATAAGACAATGACCACCTTACAGAGTGCCTCCCATCACATATGGACATGTACAATAAGAGCAGTGATAGGCTGAACCAGATAAGACAATGACCACCTTACAGAGTGCCTCCCATCACATGATCGACACATACAATTAGAGCAATGATAGGCTGAACCAGACAAGACGATGACCACCTTACAGAGTGCCTCCCATCACATGATAGACAGGTACAATTAGAGCAATGATAGGCTGAACCAGATAAGACAATGACCACCTTACAGAGTGCCTCCCATCACATATGGACATGTACAATTAGAGCAGTGATAGGCTGAACCAGATAAGACAATGACCACCTTACAGAGTGCCTCCCATCACATGATAGACACATACAATTAGAGCAATGATAGGCTGAACCAGATAAGACAATGACCACCTTACAGAGTGCCTCCCATCACATGATAGACAGGTACAATTAGAGCAATGATAGGCTGAACCAGACAAGACAATGACCACCTTACAGAGTGCCTCCCATCACATGATAGACAGGTACAATTAAAGTAGGGGAAATTACACACAAAGATGAAGCGTGAGTTTCTTTATTACTCTGTTGTCAACATCGCCTTTCTTAGGAAAATTCAGCTAAATGCCAGTTCTGAATTATTCACGACTATCAAAGATTCATACCTGACATTATCAGTGCGGAACTGGAAGTCATTAAATAGACAGTGGTCTTTATTTCTCTGATTTCTATTCTCAGGTTGAATATGTCAAAATATGGAGTAATTACTTCACAGTTGGACATTTTATAAAAGTTGAGTGCAAAGGCCTAAACTTGTATAATGTAGAGTCATATAATTGATTTCTGCTTGAGCAGGTGATTTATTTTACAAGTGTGCCGTAAAATTGTGCTGGAATTTTCCGTACTTATAATCATTAAATGCCACGTTGTTAAAATACTCAATGTTTTATGCAAGCTTGGTTTTGACCCACTTTGACAGCAAAATGCCACTTGGGATTACTTAATTCTATTACAGTCAGCTTGGGTAGACAGACTCTATATAAGTATAAATTTGTTTATCATTGTGCAATGTACTCTAATGGTTAATGTTTTTAATAATTTGCAATCATCAGTTATATTAATCTTTTTCTTTATGAGATTTGAGTATGGAAAATGATATTGATTCCTGCACTCTGTTATAATCAGTGTTACAATGAATACATGTATACACTGCTAAACAAATTGATTTAAATGTCTTGATGTGTACTATAGTGACTTGTCCTCACTATTTTGTGCCCTGGAACGTTCATTGACACCTTGTATGTGTATCAACTGTGCATTGACATGTGTAGATTTGTAAAACACAATCATGTATCCTACGGTGAAATCCTTAAAATGCTCAAATGATTACATCATTTAATTGCACCAAAATCAAGATTATCGTAGGCACTGCTTATTGGGTCTGTTTAATTAAGGTGAGAATCATTCAAGTAACTCAATGTGCATAATGTCTATTTGTTTTGTCCATGTCACTATCCATGTATTAATTGAAGATTAAGGGCTAGTACTTTATAGGAAAATCATAATGACGACAATGAGCATTGAGCGAGACTAATGACAAAGTTAATTTCCGTTTTCTGTTAAATGCAATGAATTGTGGGTAGGTGCAGTCTTATAGAAAAGAAAATGAACACTTAATTAATTCAGACGCCAATAAATTGAGAGGAAGCAGGTTACTCTCATCTTGTATGGTTTTCTCTGATTTCCAAAACGTTTTAAAAGAAAATTGATTTTTCAAAGAGATTTTTCGCAGATAGCAATATACACAACACATGTACATTCATAAGTGTTCTTTACATTGAAAACCACTTAAAGTTTGTCATGCATAGTGCTGATGTGTTGTAACAGTCAATATTTAGGGAGGTTGTGGGAATACTGCTGAATTATTTTTCGTTTTGAAAAAAAAAACTGAACTAGTTTTTATTATGAACCTCAATTTTATTTATATTACCCATTATGAAAACCAAAATATAAAGTAACACTACATGGAAATCAAGATTCATTATTTCCATGGAAACAGGTGCTGGTACTTATTTTTTTATTTTTTTGTAATTTATTTAATGAATTAATACTTTTCACTAAGAAAAATATGAAGAATATTAGTGCTTTTATTACTTTTTTTTCTCCTAGTTGGCCATGTTCATTCTTTCATCTAATATTGTACTTGTAAATGCACTTAATTTTTCTAATTGTAAACATATATTTAATTGTGACAATTTAACCATAGTGTGAAGAAAAAAAGGGAATACCCCTGACTGTGAGGTATTCTGCACCAATTGAAACAAGGTAGCAAAATCCTATATGCACCATATGAAATTGATTGCATTGCACAGTAATGTGTCATAAAAAATGGCTACCACCTGCCGAGTGGCGGCATGAATTCTCGTAACACCTGTACTTT